TCTCCGACTATAAAATAGAATGAATATGCTTATCAAAACTCTGTTGGTTAAATTATTGAAGGTCTTTAGCTGAATTACATATTTGTTTATGTGGTATTATTTTTAGCAGCCTGGTTAAAAAAACACAAAGCCCAAGTTGAATTCTCCTCCTTAATACAGTACCCCATATCTACTCTTTCAAGGCTTTATGATAGAAATACACTGGGACATCTCTATTTAAAAATTATAAGAAAGTACACCAGAAGTTAGCATATAATGACAGTATATATGATTAGTACATAGTAAATCATATATCATATATGGTAACTACACATAATAAACTCTAAGAAACATTAATTAGGTAAAAGTTGTTAGAATGTGAGAAGCACTACACAAATAGGTACTTGTAGAAGTGCTTGAGCTTAGTATTATAGAATCATTAAAAATTAGTGCAGTAATTTACAGATAATCTAACGTTGCCCATTCCAGATCTATTAGATAATATGAGTTATAAGGCAAAGACCTCCCATGGTCAGATGATCTTGGGAAATGCTAGGATAAGATAATTAGATGAACTTCTTTCCTGGTAGACTTCCCTGCTGAGTTTTCCATGTGGGTACGACTGCAGAACTCTTTCATTGCAGAGTATCTTTTGGGGCAAGTGTTTCGTGGAATGCACTTTGGGAAATATTGTTTTATTATAGACTTTTCACTTTCTAGACAAGAAAACCAAGGCCAAAGGTGGTTAAGTGGCTTGCCATGTTTATCTAGAGGGTGAAGCTGAATGCAAGCCTGGGTATTGAACACTATCTGATGTCCTGTCTACTATGCCATATTGCCCCATATATTTCATTCAAGCAAAGTCAGCCAGAGAGCTGTTTTGTTCCTATATTCCACAGGGAAGATGATGTCTGGGACTAGGGTATCCAGGCTTTCACACCTTTCACAGCCACTGGCTCTGGCTCATAATCCAAAAATCTGGGATACCCCTTCAGTTACTAAGTCCACAGCCTTGAATTTTTTACTCAATGCCTACTGGGTAAAAAAGGTGCTGACTTTTGGAGATGAATCGGCCAGGGTTGAAAATGCAGCTTTACCACTTAGCTGTGTGCCTTTGGGGCAAGAAATAGCCTACTGAGCCTCCATCTGGGCTGATACCTTGCATAGCTGGGGTAACATTAGATCCATCTGAGGAGCCTGTCTGGTAAAGGCATTCAATAAGTGGGACCTATTTTTATTCCTTAATAATGCTTGAAGGAGATAAATAATCACTGTGTAGTTTCTGGTGGTGATTGCAGTCCTCTCCTTGTAGGACATGGTGAAAATTTTTATTGTGATTTTGCTAACAGAAACTACCTCTCCTGCTTCTCCTTTTTTCGCCATCTGGTTCTTGGGTCTCTGATGGCCCCTGTGAGTGTCCTGTATTGGCACATGCCACGTCCTATTCTTGCACACATGCAATGCTGTTCCATGGTGGACCAGTCACTTTCTTTTGTCAGGGATGATAAACAAATTGCAAAGAAGTCTCAACGTCTTCTACTGTGATAGTAACAATTTCAGAGTTTCAAGTAAGAAGCCTTCATCAGCTCTATTTTACTTCTCACCTCCACTAGCTATTTCTGTTCCTGTTTACCGCTGCAGAGATCCTTGTACAGGTTGAAGTTGCAGGTCTGTTATATTTCTACAAGCACCTACATAGGTGCATGTTGGAAAATCCTCTCTTTACTCCGACAGAAAGGATTTCACAGACTGCTATGGCTCTTGGCAGAGAGAGAATGACTTCCAAGCCGAGTGCTACTTGAAAGAGGCACTCCCCCATCACTTATAAGTCTGTACTCACTGGTTACTGCTTGTGACACATTTTCAAATGGACCCCCCAGTGGCTGCAGCTGTGATTAAAAGCTGTCTGCTCTCTGCCTCACTGGGGGTTTGCTGTTTAACCATGTCATGTATGTGTGTGTGAGTGTGTGTGTGTGTATATATATATATATGGGCTGCATCATGGAAAACGTAAAGTGTTTGTAACACAAAAAAATTCAAATGAGTACTTGAATGACAAACTCTTGGATTTTCGAAGCTCAAGTCAGTGAGAGGCACTAGTTGGGAACCTAGCCATGTATGAGGTATGTAAAAGTAATTTAAGGAAGAAGAGCTAATGGTCAGTGAACATATACCATCTGCCAGTGCATGTTTTGCACACATCAGCCAGACGGAACATCTTAAAGATTTAAGTGCACTTGAACTCAGCAGCTGCATTTCAGCTCGTCAGTGTGGTTCGGGATTCAGTTTGACCTTTCACAAATAAAGCAAGAGTAGAATATTCTTTCTTAAGTTTACCCAGATATTCACTGGCACATTAATAATCATGTCTGACTTATCATAAGACTGCTATTCTCAACATAAGTTTACCATTAACGTTATCTTAAAAAATGCTCAGATGAACAGTACAGTAACAGAGACTGGGTATCTCAAAGGTACAGGTCACACCCCTTCCTTTAGATTAGAGAGACTGAGGATTCAACCTTTTATAAAGTAAAAAGAGTGGACTAGAATGTAAACCTGGGATCTTGACATCACATGACAAGTATACTTAGGAACGCCACGAGGTCAACCAACGAGCATTGTTTCTTTCCCTACCCACCCACCCACCAACTGAATCAGAACTCGAACAGGCATGCTTTCTTAGATATTTAGGAAAGAGATCTGGGGAAATTTTGAGAATTGTGTGTCTCCTTTCCCTTCTGCCTGCCTCCCCCATCTCCCCCAAGTTTCAAGCGCTCCAAATCCCGGCAACAAGACCCAGTAAACAAAATGCAAATCTATCACTAGCAAATTCAAGCTGACAATACTGTGAATCGACTGCATTGATTACATTGATTATATTTCAAATATTTACAATATGGTGAGACAAGTCTAATTTCTTTTCTGAGGAGTTCAAGGTAGGTATCACCATTTCTGAGGGGGGAAAACAATGGAGAAATGTTTGTGGTTGCTATCTGCAATAATCTGGTGCTGACAGAGAGTAGTATTTTATTTAGTAATTAACAGTGTAAAGGGGAGAGGAGCTGTCATGTTGGTTCTTAAGCTGGGGAATGTGATGAAAGATGATATCTGCGATCTCATCCTTTCCACTTGTTTAGGATTGTCAGGATGAGAAATGTCAGCATTATGAAAGCTCGGCTCTGCTCTTGATATGATAAAACCCTTCAAAAGCCAGTCTTTCTCTCTCCCTCGTCCCCCTCCTTTCTCGCTCTCTCTCTTTCTCTGCACTTGCTTTTTTATTTATCCTGTTTTGTTAGATGGCAGAAATATAATTCTTTTCTTTCTTCCTATTATAAGCCACCATTTTTGTTTTATTATATGTTTCACAACCCCTAATGCCCCACTGAAAATTACCTTGTTAAATGACAGTGTTTCAAAGCCATGAATCCTTTCCACCATTCCCTCAGAGGTTTGAAACAGTCAACAGACTGTAAAGAATAAATAATAAAAAAGTATTGATTATTTTGATGACTGTGAGATTCAATTAAGTATTAATTTTGCCCTCCAGTGGACCTATCAAGGTATTCAAAAGGGAGGATTCGGCTCAGCTAAATGCGTGCTGAGTGCTTCAGCCTTAAATAGGGAGAAAATGTGTTTACCTACAGTATTTGAAGAAGAAGTGCATTGATGCACAGAGTCCAATATTTAAGTGCTGTGCAAATTAAGCCCTGGTGACAGTGACATTGTTTTCAATGGTATGAGTATTGACTAAAGAAGTGCATTTGATGACAGCTTAAACTATTTGTATTGATTAACATTTTCATAGATTATCATGTGTCATATCAAATTCACTTTTCAGGCATGAATACATTAAACACACACACACACACACACACACACAGGCATACCGCAACCAATGCAATGGTGGGACCCGGGAGCAGGCCACCCCACCTGCTTCTGTGCTGGTCACCTGTTTCCTGCTCAGGAACCATTTAGGCATGAACTTGGCAATAAATAGCTCCCAGATCTCGCAAAAAGGGCACTTCTTGCTCTTCCTTTCCTTCTGCATCTGATATTGTGCCAAAACAATATTATGCGTCTCGGTTTGCAAATGGAATAAAAGACTACACTTGGAAAATATTTCTGATCCTAAAATGCCCTCCTAAATGAGCTGAAGATAAAGCAGATTTAAATAATTAGGGGAGAAAGTTTGTCTTTTCTGAAGGCGATTTTTTTTTTCTTTTTCTTTAATGCTCTGGGTGTGTGATGCTCTAGGTATCCGAATTATTGAACACAGTTTGTAAGTATTTTCCCAATTCCTTAAAAAAAAATTTTAAATCAATTTTCGTGTATTGTGTTGTATATTATTTGCTTTAAAATGTTCATTTGATTTGGGGTCAGCTCTGGTTCCCAATCTGGGACCAGTGAAGCCAACTTCTAAGGGTGCTTATAGAATTTACATAAGAAATATCTTTTATTCCATTGAAAGCCTTTCGAGGTCTCTTTTCTCCCTATCTTTTTTCTCTGCTCTTGGGATAGGGTTTAATTGCTTCTCCCCCGGGGAGAAGGCTTCTTAAAATAGCCCGTGGTTCCTCCATAGGGTGCTCTTCCTTTTTAGTATGTTGCTGAAGTACAAGCCCAGCACTTTCTTTTTTCTTACTGCATTAAAGACAGAACAAGGTGTAAAACCATTCGCACAAAAGCATATCCCACAATTAAAGCTGTGTTGGTTAGGTTGCTTTCAAATAAGTTTTTTTTTTTTTTTTTTTTTTTTTTTCCTCCAAAGCCTCCTGAATCTCTCACATGCTAGTTGAGCTTTAATAGGGTGGGGAGTAATGGAGAACTCATCGGATCTGTAATAGCTCTTCACTTGACTGCAGCCAGCAATAACAGCGGGAGCAGCCAGAGATAAGAGAGGAGAGAGGGAGAGTGTGTGTGGAAGAGAGAGAGAGAAGAGAGAGGGAGAGGGAGAGAGAGGACACGCACTCTAAAGCTGCCACTTTTTTTTTCCTCCCCTTCACTCTTTTCGCCCATCCTAGGATCCAATGATAGCTGGACAAGTCAGTAAGCCCTTGCTGTCAGTGCGGAGTGAAATGAATGCGGAGTTGAGAGGTGAGGACAAGGCTGCTACTTCAGACAGCGAGCTGAATGAGCCCCTGCTTGCGCCTGTGGAATCAAATGACAGCGAGGACACTCCCAGCAAGCTCTTCGGTAAGTCTGTCTAGGTATTTCATTTCAGTACTACCATGGTGTCCGGAAGAGCAATCCAACCCCCCCAACCCTCCCTTTTTTTCTGTTGTTCATTCAGTTTTCTCGTAAGTACTAAAAAGGAGCATCTTGGAGGTGCTAAGCCACCGAAGCTGATTCCAGCCAGCTAGGAGGATGTCCTCCAAACTTTTACCAACAAGGAACTTATTCGCTGCCCATTTTGACTTGTCAAATATTGCTAGAGTCCTCAGGCTGGAAATTATTTGGAAAAAAATAGAAAGTGGTAATAATAATCAGGAAATCGGTTCCATTGTGAGAATTGGTTAACATTTATTGAGTAAATATCGACTGGGTTTCAGGTTGCTTCGCAGCCTTTTGTTAAGGGGAAGGTGAGTAAAGACATTATCTGTCGTCTAAAGATGGGAGAGGAGAACTGAAAAATATCAATACAAGTCTTGCTATGCCAGGTAAACAAAGGTGGCCACGGGAATTGCTCTAAGAAATAACATGTGTCATCACAATCAGAATGAATATTTCTTCTTTAAAAAAGGTGATGAGGAAAGAAAACAGGTTCTATGATTCCCTCCTCTACCCCTCTCCTTTTCAACATTGTGTTTATAGCCTCATAACTAAAAGTAGAGGCAGCCCAGGACCTTTTAGGAATCTTTGTTTCATAAACAAAACAAGAACAAGCAGAGTGCCACTCCAGCAAAGACATCTGTCATTCAAACTGATGACACTCTGTAAGCCAACTCATGCAACTGTGATCTCTAATCAGAAAGGGGAGCGGGTTGTTGAGGCGCGTGCCTGAGTGATAGATGTTAATGGATGTCTCTGCTGGAGAAGCACTTTAGGGTTCAGAGTGACGTTAGGTTTTCAGAACAATTGCTCCTGAAACATTTGCTTTTAATTATTTTCAAGTGCATGTGTGTGCACACACACATAGACATATGTATACCTACTAACCTAAGGTATATATATCAGGCAGAGTACTGCTTGGTCTCAGGTAAGAAACAATCAAGCACCTGAACTTCAAAAAAAAAAAATTCATTACATAGACTACTACTTTGTTAAGAAAATCAGCAATTCGGCTTAAAACACAGGCTTTATTTATTTATTTATTTTAACAGACAGAAAGCAAGCTGCCTTGAGAGTTTGGCAACTCTAGGCTAGCTTGCTTCAACAGACAAGCTTTTCCTTAATTTTAAATGCTTACTCAATCAAACATTAAAGAGATGTCACAGAGAAACTCTGCTTTTCAGATTTTCTCTTGGTACAATACTGTTTTATGCTTAACAATATACTAGATTCCAATTGCAAGAAATTCTTTGGTAGCACCCCTTCTTTGAAAAGCAGCAATGCCACCTCTGACATGAATTTCCAAACTCGTGCATTCGGGTTTTAGCATTTTCACCCTAAAGAAATTTTTTTACAGTGCAAGTTTTTATCCATCTAGGAAGAATTATGCACTAAAACCTTTGCTTCAATTGTAGGAGGGTAGTGAGAAAAGTCAGATAAAATGATAAATTACAGAAAGGTAAAAGCCATGCTCATACCCGTCTGATGTTGAGTATGCTAAGTAAGCACTTTGACTTTTAAAAAGTAATCAGTTTTGAGTTCAACAAGCTACAGATAATACATTTTTGTTCCTAAACTTTGCATGCATTTAAAATAAAAGTAGATGGATTTTGTAGACTTGAGCTTGGAGCTCCAACTTGTTTTCTTTCAAGTAATCCAAAAGAGGGGCGATTGATTTTTTCATTTGTTTAGGGTTCCCAGTGTTGAACACTGTTATAGATTTGTTATGCTATGTCTTACTGATTTGCACGGGTAGAGAAAAAAGCTTCAAAAATTCCAAGAGGGTGGAAGGATTTGATTTAAAAGTTTAATTCAAAAGTAATATTTTTGTGAGGTGCCATTTACTAAGAATTCATAGTTTAATGTTAAAATCATAGTGGATTTTAGAAGGAATCCGCTTTTCATTTTGAAATTCTCAACTTCTGAGTTTGTGTGAGAGAACACAGCAAAATCTACATCTTACATTCTTTTTGAATTCACTTAATTGTCTTTGGTCTCTAGACTGTTTTTCAAACACAACGTGAGTATTTCTCAGTTTCCAATTAGGTCAAGAAGAAATCAGTAGATTAACAGTTTTGAGAACTTGAGAAAAAATTAGAGACAACATGAGAAAGAAAGAATAGAAAGGATCAGGAGGAAGACCCCTAATATTCTCATAAGGTTTCCTTCGCAGGGGCCTGTTATGCTCTTACTTTTTAATATTACCAGGACTTGGCCGTAGCAATTCAAGTTTACGTAACTGACTAAAACTTTCCAGAATAATTCTGTCCCAGAATTTTTAGCAACTTTGGCAGCACAATTTAAGGAACCATGATTTTCTTTGATATGCATATGTTCAAGTCTGTTTTATGTTTTTAGATGTAGTCTTGATTATACCCTTTTCTTGATAATGAAGAATTGTGTTCTTCCTGAATAGCTGACAGCATCTATGTTTTTATCTAAACAATAATTTTCTAATATACTCACTCTCTCAAACTGTCATTCTTCTATGTATACACTGTAGTATTGAAAATTGGGCTTCTCTAATGAGATGGCAAGATTATGACAAATCATGTGCATCTTGATATATTTAGTTTCATGGAGAGACATTAACCAACAACAGGAGACAAGCAGAGCTCAGGTTTTTTTTATTGTACCTGAAATTTCAGTTTAAATGGATTTCTTTGAAGCCTCTTCCCCCATCTGTGTACTGTTCAAATTAGCAGTCCAGAGGACAAGTCTGTTTCCCTCACAGTATGGTACCTTCAGCCCAAAACTGCAGGAGGAACGCTAATACTGATGCCCTCTATGGATAAACAAAGGAAATTCCAGGAACCACTGGGCCTTTTATGCCTCTCCTTAAATTGCACCTCTGCACTTAACAGCATCCAAAGGGAAACATACTGTGCAGAATGTTTCAGTGCTCTGAGCAACTCAGAATACCAGAAGGAGAAAGGAGAAGCCATATGCCAGCCTAAGTAGAAAGTTCAGAAAAGGGCCCTTGTGTTTTATAAAGTAATTACATCAGTGGTAACGTTTTGCTTAACTTGAACAGCCGTGGAAACTAAAGTACACTTAGGAGAGATGAATCCACATTTCATTGAGAAACATGTGGTTAGGTAGTTCTCTGTGATATCATTAAGTGGTGCATTATTTATTCTTCTAAAGCCTGTAGGATAACTATCTCCTTTTTCAGTTCATGACTGTATTATGCTAAGCTCTGAGCCGTAAGAAACAGTATAGAGGAGAACAGGTTTGCATGTGGTTGGGGGTAGGGGATTATCAGAGAATCTGGAGCTGTATCTCACAGGGCTTTAGCTGTGTGATCAGATGAGTGTTGCTACATAGAGCCAGTCATTTAATATGTGACTAGTGATGTATATATTGGAAACCATTCTCAAAACTGGCCTTTGGCAAACCATCTTAAAGGGAAGAGGTTGCTGTGTTTCTCTAGTGACATTTACAGTACTCGTGTCAATGTGGTGCTTCACTTTTAGTTATGCCCATCAAGAATTCAGTGTTCCACATTCAGTCAAGTTGGATGCTAAAATTCAAATGGTAGCATCAACAACTTGGTCGGGAAAATGACCGCGGAAAGGATAAAAGTAATATATATCCTTGGAAAAAATATGTGCACTAAAGTTTTCCCGTGCACTCTCAGCCGAAGAAGTGAGATCTCATAAAACATGCCCTAAATATTTTCTCCCCTATATATTTGAGATTTGAAAGATGATTTATTAACAGTGTTTCTCCTGGGAAAATGTTTATTGTTTGAAGTTAAACCTCATGATTTCTTTCCTTTAAGTCCCAGTTATCTTGGGTGGCTGCGTTAGTCTCGGTGGCTGGCTTCTCAGTTGTACTACACTGTGCATCAATGGGGCACACAGCTAAGAGTCTTGAGCTGAGATGGAACTACAAAACCTTGTATAAGCATTGCATCCGAAGTAAAAAGTTGTGGTTGATTTTCTCTTCTGATATTGTGCTTTTCTAGGATAAAAGAAATTGCATGCAATGATACTTTTAAGAGTGGATATTTTCATTGCCATTTATCTGTGAGCTGTTGGAAAAGCCCTTAAAGTTGGCTCAGGGATTCCTCCATGCTATAGAATGTACTATATCGTGTATTTCTTTTCCTTTCTGTGATCTTTCTCACAGAAACATGCATTATAAGATTTTTTTCTTTCAAATTGCCATCCAGTTTGACTTGATTAGAATTTATGGCAGTGGAGCCGCTTTCAATGACAAAAGGATAAAGGACTAAATTGTCTGTCACCCCTTGAGACAGTGGTCTCTGCAGGTCGGCGTGGAGGTCATTGCAGGGCATTATGGGGACTGCACTTGGGGGTGATGCTGCCTGGCGCCCGTGCATCCGCGGAGGCCTTCATTATGGGATCACTGTCTTCATTACTTTATTTAAACGTCTCTCTCCAAGCTTCAGTACCTTGAGTATTTATAATATTCTGATTAACTCTTCTGGAGCCAGTAATCAGTACCAAGAGCTTAAACCCAAGAGAGATTTAGTTAGGAGGTGATGAGGTAAATTCCCTAGAGAAATATATTTATTTAAAATATGTATCATGCTTCTATATTTTTAGAAGTTTCTATATTATATCAATTGAAAATGTATACCCCTTTTCACCAAAGAAAGTTTTGCTAAAGAAATATTAAAAGTATATTTTTTAAATCAACTAAATAATTTGAGTAATAGATTTATGCAAAAATAGTTATTTAAAAGAAATCTGTAGAAACCTGTATTTGTGGAAGTAAGTGAGATGCACAAGGTATTTGTCAAAAATCAGTTATGGTTTAATAGTCAAACAAGCCGTTGTCATGCTGCTGCATGCTTGAGTGAAAAAAAAAATGCTATTTGGATACACTTCCTACATTTAAGAAAGTCTAATGCACAGGAGTATTTTTTAAAAAATCAGTGAGAGGCTGTGTGCATT